CCTGGTTCAGCTAGTGATTTAGACAGTTTATCGTGTACCAGAGAATTTATCTCGTACCATAGACTCTCATCGAAGCGACCTTCTTCCACCATCATAGGTGATCTCTATGGAAGGTATCATGCCATACCTTACTTGAACATATCAAGATATAGAGATCATTAAAAGCGTAACTTACCCTAAATGCTCATGGCATGAGTGTACCATATCTTGGCTAGTACCGCCCGAGCCAGTCCACAGTTGTGTTTTCCTTTTGAACCTAATTATGAGGCACTCTCAGTAATAGGTAGGGTTTCCCCATGGACTTTTATGGGATCATTGGCTGTAGGCCCATCGCTCTCCTTGATGTCTCGACAAACTCTCTCGGTAGAGGTTTGGTTAGCGGATTCACAATATTTTCTTTCGACTTAACATAGTCAAGATAGATGAACCCATTTTTAATTGTGGCCGCAACAATTTGCCTAGCTAAATCTGTTTGTTAGGAGTTGTTATCTCATCTTATTCTTGTTACTTATTGTTTATTCTAATTTTATTTAATCAGACCAAATCAGAAAAATTCAGATATGATAGATCAAATAAAAAATTTCAGGTTAGATCACATCAGATAAATTTAGACCATACAGATAGAGATCAAGTCAGATCAGATCAAAAAAATTAGAAATGATTTATTACTTTTAAATATTATTATTATTACTATTATTATTATTCTCAATATTATAGTTATAAATAATATTATGGTTATTATTACTACTAGTATTAATTATTACTAGTGATGTTATTATTTGTATATATTGGTTATATTATTATTATACCTATTATTATGGCTATTATTTATTATTTATATACATATTTTGATAAAAATATATTGGGCATTTAGTTAATCGTGCAATGTGCGTGTAAATAACTAGCTAGTGTGTGTGTGTATCCTAAAGTCAATACTACTAATTAGTTTCAATGGTGGGATAAATATGACTCGGTTGCGAGGTGGTTGCATAAGCATATATATCCCCTTGATCAATGTGCCAAATTAAACATTGCTAGCTAGCTTCGACCTACTCATCTCCGAGGTATACATAGTAACGACCGGAAAAAAATCCATAAACAAAAAACGATCGACAAACTAATCAAATCAAATCGATAAAAACTGAGTCCATGAAAATCAAAATCGATGAAAACTGGTCAAAACATATGTAGTTCGATTCATGCTTTAAGGATTATGCGTGAAAAAAGGCCGAACGGAACAAAACCGCTTAAAACTGGTTGTAACATGCCAGAATCGTTTGAAACCGACTGCAAATAACTGAACCAAAGTCGACTGACTAAATGTAGTCAGTTTGACTTATGGTTTTACCTTTCTTAATATGGAACCAACTTAAGTTGAATTGATGAAACTGAAAATCGAGAAAACCAGACCAGCAAACACCCCTATATAGACACGATTTCATTGATCTAGTTTAAACATGAAACCTAGAGTTTAGAGTTTATTTTCTCTCTATCTATACCAACATCTTTCAACTATCAACGCTCAAAAGTTTTTTGATAAATAATTGCCATGGTTTTGAGTTCCATCATAACCCTTCTCAGTATCACTGCCACGTCTTTCTTAACAACGCCATTCTCAATGGCATTGAAAGTCCTCCAATGTTAGCCTTCATCATTCATATCACCATCCGGAATACGACTAGCCTTTGTGAGAATAATGGAATGGCTTAACCCAATTGGGAGCCCTAGATGTCATATATATAAGAAATAGTATCCAAATACAATAGAAAACATAATAACCTAGGAAACCTAATTAATGAGAATTAATTACTCTATTACACCCCCTCAAGCTGTGCAGGGAAACAATGCGCAAATTATCTCTAAGAAAAATAAAACGTTGGGGAGACAGACTTTTGGTAAAAATATCTGCGAGCTGGAAATGCGTAGGAACATAACGAACAAAGTGATAGTCAATACTGATATGCTTGCTCTGAGCATGCTGAATAGGATTTGTAGATAAGTAAGATGCGGAAATGTTATCACACAATAACCAAACGGGCTGGCAAAGTGGTACTCCTAATTCGAACAATATAGAACGGATGTGAAGAGTGTCCTGAACTATGTAGGCAATAGCCCTGTACTCCGCTTCTGTGGAAGAGCGTGAGACCGTGGGCTGCTTTTTGGACTTCCATGAGATCAAATTAGGACCCAGAAAAATAGCAAAGCCAAAAGTGGACCGACTGCTATCAGGACAACCAGCCCAATCAGCATCAGAATAAGCCTGTAAAATAGGAGAATAAGTGCTCGGCTGTAGAAGCAAGCCATGATCTGGAGTTCCCTGTAGATACCTGAAAATGCACTTAACAGCCAAAAAATGTGAAATACGAGGTGCATGCATAAACTGAGAAACCAGGTGAACAACAAATGTATTATGTGGTCGAGTCATGGTCAAATACAGTAAAGCACCCACCATACTTTTGTACTCCGTAGGATCTGCTAGAAGATCCCCATTAGTGAGAGATAATTTAGTTCGAGTAGGAAGTGGAGTACGAACCGGTTTAAGAGTGTGAAGATGAAACCTGGTTAACAGATCAGACACATATTTTTGCTGAGAGAGGAACAAACCTGAGGGTGTGCGAACAGCTTGGACACCGAAGAAGAAGTGTAAATCCCCCAAATCCTTCATGGAAAAGCATCGGCCAAGGCAAGAAATAAATGTGGAAATAAAGGAAGGGGGATCACCAGTGATTATAATATCATCCACATACAAGAGAAGAAACAGGAGATGAGACCCATGGCGATAAATGAACAAAGAATTATCTGACTTGATACAAACAAAACCATGGGTCAACAAAAAACTACTAAATCGATAAAACCAGGCGCGTGGAGCCTGTTTGAGACCATAAATAGCCTTCCTAAGACGACAAATGTGATTAGGAAATTGAGGATGTATAAACCCAGGAGGCTGACGCATATAAACCTCTTCAGTTAAATTTCCATGAAGAAAAGCATTTTTGACATCTAACTGACGAATAGTCAACCGACACGAGACAACAAGAGATAGAACAATACGAACAGTGGTGGGTTTTACAACAGGACTAAAGGTCTCAGAAAAATCCACACCAACTTGTTGAGTAAATCTCTGTGCAACTAAGCGTGCTTTATAACGCTCAACAAACCCATCAGATTTAAATGTTGTTTTCTAAATCCATTTAGACCTGACCACATTTTTATTAGCAATAAATGAACTAAATCCCAAGTATGATTATCTATTAAAGCATTAAACTCCTCTGCCATAGCCGCCCTCCATTTAGTATCTTTATTTGCCATCGAAAAACAAGAAGGATCACATGCCGAAATATTTGTTTTTAGAGTAAAAATACTTTTGGGTTTAAAAATTCCAGATTTAGCACGAGTTTGCATAGGATGACAATTCCAAGGAGACGGTGCAGGTGAAGAGGCGGATGGGGTTGGGCTGTAAGTTGGTGAACTGGTCGTATGTGGGGACATAGGGGTACTCGGCAGAGGTGGACTATCAGCTACCGCAGGGGTAGTGAGGGTAGTAGGGGGATCGGTCGGTGGAAGAGTGGAGGCATCTGGCGGAATGGAATTAGGTTGAGAGCAATGTGTGGGCTGCCGCTGCATGGTGGTGGTGGGAAGAACGTCAGCCGCTGGCTGTGTATGGTCATGGTGCTGATGCATGCTTACAGTATTAAAGTTGGGCAAGTTCTTGGTGGATGTGGAAGAAGTTAATGTAGAATATGGAAAATAAGTTTCATAAAATCGCACATTCTGGTTGATGTAAATCTTGTTAGTAAGAGGATCGAGACAACGATAACCTTTATATTCGGGGGCATATCCTAAAAAGACACATAAAATGGATCTGGGAGAAAGCTTGTTGGAAGAAGTGACATTAAAATTTGGAAAACAAGCACATCCAAATACACACATAAAAGAGATGTCAAGAGTACGGTGAAATAATTTTTCAAAGGGCGAAATGCCATTTAAGTTTGGAGCAGGAAGCCGATTAATAATAAATGTGGCGGTAAACATAGCATCTACCCAAAATTTAGCTAGCATGTTTACCTCAAAAAGCATAGTGCGAGTTAATTCAAGGAGATGCCTGTGTTTGCGCTCAGCGACACCATTCTGTTCAGGAGTATTCGGGCATGATTTGCGAAATAAAATACCATTTTTGACAAATATATCACGCATTCCATGATTATCAAATTCACCCCCTCCATCACATTGAAATTTTTTAATTTTGGAGTTAAGTAAATTTTCCACCATTAATTTAAAATGCTGAAAATGGGTTATGACTTCACTTTTATGGCGCATGGGATAGAGCCAAGTAAAACGAGAAAAATCATCAATAAATAAGACATGATATTTAAAGCCACTTGTAGACAAAAAGGAGACTGCCAAACATCAGAATGTATTAAAATAAAGGAGCAGTAGATTTATGCCAGACTTCTTGAAAAGGTAATCGTTGTGACTTTCCTAAATGACAAGAAATACAATCATGGGAAAAACTTAATAAGTCAATGGTAATGGTTTGTTGCAACGTTGGGACATTATAAATGCAACTTGGTAGATAGGTTGTTGTATAAGCATATTCCCCCTTGATAAATGTGCCAAATTTAATAAGATAGTTTCAACCTCATCATCTCCAGGGTAAATATATTACAGATAAGAAAAATAAAAAATTCAAAACCAATCAATAAATCGACCAAAACCAAACCCATGAAAACTGAAACTGATAAAAACCAAATGTAGTTCAATTTACGTTTTGAAGATTACACATGAAAAACTACCGAATCGATCAAAACCACATAAAATTGACCAAACACGTGCCAAAATTGACCGAAGGCAGCATACTAAATGTTGTCGATTTGATTCACTTATTACATTTCTCAAAACCGAACCTGCTTAAACTGAGTGGACAAAATCAAGAACCGATAAAACCAAACACCCCTATATATACATTGGTTCATTAATCTAGTTTAAACATCAAACCTAGAGTTTCAAGTTTATTTTATCTCCATCCATATCAACAACTCTCAATTATCAAAACTAAAAAGTTTTTTATACAAATAATCGTCATGGATTTAAGCTCAACCAGAACCTCTTCTCAGTATCATTGTTGTGTATTTCTTAACAACGTCATTCTCAATGGCATAGAAAATCGTCCGATGAATGCCTTCTTCATTCAAATTACCGTTAGGAATATGACCAGTCTTCATTATCTTTCCCATCAAACCAACCAATGGGTCCTTCACTGCAACCTAAATGAAGACCCGCACTTTTCCAAAAACCTCATACTTTCCATGTCCAACTTTAACAACATGCTTTGTGACTTCAGTACAAACATCAATGAGGTGGCTATGGTGCTCACAGAAGCTGCCATTCCAGCCTCGGAGCATCCTCACATCATGGCAAAAGTCACCTCCACCGCCATGTCAGTGGCCCGACAGTTTGGCAACCTTGAGGACAAAACTATCCCACTCATTGTTGATATCACCAAGTCACACTTCGAGATCATCAGTGACCCTTTTCAATCCAACTTTGAAGAGTATGTGAACAATCAGGTAATGATACGATTTGTTAAAGTAGATTTTGTGTGTGTCTGATATCCTAGTTTTTTAACTTATTAGCTTTTAGAACCATTTTGATATCTTAGTTTTCCCACTTATGAGATTTAAATAATCAATCAACTTTTCCATCATTTTTGAATTTTCACTTTTCTAGTGAATTGGTTGAAATAGTTGAAGAAGAAGACTATTCAAGCTTTTTAATATACTTTTTAGTTTTGTTTCGTAGTTCAACCTCTTTAGCTTATAAATTAACAGATTCATCCAATTATAGCATTTCCAAATAGACGCTTAATCTATTAACTAAAATATTTAGGTTGCACATGTTTGACTTTTTTCCACTCGAGTTAGCTCACTATGGTGATGATCATACTTTTAGTATTAGGATGTTTTTTCATTTGCGTCACTAATCAAAGCACACTAACTACACTTACAGAAATCAGATCAAACAAGAATGACTTAAGAGCCCATACCAACTTATTAATGAAAACACACATAATATTAGACCAAATAAACAAGTTTAGACCAGACTGGACGTGAAAATGTTAATCAAAGTGAAAAAATTTAGTCTTTGGAGGTGACATTCTTCATTATCATATTATCATGAAAGTGAACAATTTTTGTCCACAAAGTATACAGAAAAGTTAAAATGAAAACAAAAGTCGTATATTAGAGAAACTTAGCGGTCATTTACAAAATAACCAAAACTCTAAAATGGAAAGAATTCATTAACTATATAACACAAATTAATATTTAAAGGAACATATAACATAACGTCCTGAATTATCACCACTCCATATATGTTCCTACTACTACAGTGGGCAGCGGCTGCAGACAGTGATGGATTTGAGGAGTTTGACGATAACGAGGAAGAGGAATATGGGATTAACGATGATGTGACAAGGTTATCGATTGAGGAAGAGGAGCACACTAATTCTCCGGCAACTGAGGCATCGATCCCTGCATTAGAGAAGGTGAATTCTAGCGAAAATGGAGAATGTACAATATGCTTGGGAGGTATGGCGGTGAACGAAGTGGTGACTCGCATGCCCTGCAATCACAAGTTTCATTGAGGGTGCATCGTGCAGTGGTTAGGGAGGATACATGTCTGCCCCTTGTGCCGTTTCGAAATGCCAGTGGGTACCACCGTTGCCGCAATGGATGGTCGTTCTACCTTCTAGTTAGGGTCATTCGAACGTGCATTATCCTTTAATCGTGTGTTTGGTTGGTCTTTGGTTGTATAATTTATGTCATGGACAGTAAGTTGTCCATTTTAATTATGTGTTTTTATAATAATTTGGTTGTGTGGTTTGTTTTTGTTACATGTGCAATATCTATTATAAACAGTAAGTTGTACATTTTGATTATGTGTGTTTAATATTAATAATATGATTATGTACCTTTGTTTTTAATTAATTGATATTTACATTGTTTTGCAATAAAAGTGTGAATTTATTTCTATAGATCTAACAAATTAAAATAAAACAATAATACCAACTTACATACCGCCTTGTACAGTTGTACAATACATCAACATTTCTTTGTTTAGATGACAACGGACAAGCACATAAATGATGAGTCTCATCATATATGCGCAAAGACCACAAAGCTGGGTTTTGGTACTAGTTTTGTTAACTTGGATTAAATAATATAGAGTATTGCTTCACGACATATAAAAACATAAAAGGAATATTTTAATAATCACTAAGGAGTGTAATGTGTTGTTGTGTGCCATTTTGTTTGACTGAGTAAAGAAGATAACAAACGGATTAAGTTAGTAAGTAAATTGACATTATTGATCCATGTACTGTGTTAATCGATAATTTAATGCTCATTAAATATATTTAAGAAGGTGATAAAATCAAAAGTCAACGGCTAAATCACTTCAAAAGATTCATATTTGGGACATAAAATTAATGTTTGTCCATGCCCCGACTCAATTTGATCCATTTTATGTCATCCGGAAATGGTAGAATATGTAGGATACATGCAATGGAATATTGATAGGCGATAGCCAAGCAATATGATTAGAGTCTTCATATCTAACACTGTAAAATTAATTACTTCTACATTTTAAGAAGATGATTTGTGTGATTGGTGTGTTATCTCAATCAGTTCTCTTTACATCTGACTATGAGCCCGTTTGGTAACACTAAAATTGACTGTATTGGCTGATTCTATTGAAATTTATGAAATTCTGGCTGAAGTGGTTGTATTGGCTGATGATAGCCATTATATTTAGCCATTATATTTACTTGTGTTTAACATAAGTATTTATAAGTATTTGTTGAACAAAGGAAGATAAATCGGGCAAATACCTACCTTCAGAATGACAGCTAGAGCATAAAACATTGTGATGAAGAGCTTTTTAGACCAAGAAGATGATGTTTTGCTCATAATTCGAGTATAACTTATGGTAGAGAACTCGAAATCACTCGATTCGAATTTCATGTGAATGTTAACTCAATAACGTACAAATGTTATGAAGACGTCATGGCCAGAATATGAAAGGATCAAGACTCAATCAACCTATAAACTCAGATGTTGCTGGTGGGATTTCATGATGCATACCTCTCAATGTTTTATCCACATCTTTTGATTGGATGACTACAAACACATCATTAAAGTTTTGGTGGATAGAAGACTTCATTATATACAACTTTGGCGAAGGAATTATGTCCAAATTCGTAGCGCAACATTCCCAAAATCCCAGGACAAAACCGGCGCCGGAATTTCACCAAACCGGCGCCGGTTTGATTTAATTTGCTATTTTACGGATTCGCCGAGAGCAAACCGGTGCCGGTCCACCTCAATAACCGGCGCCGGTTATGGTATTTTTCCGTATTTTCCCAGCGCCGGAAGAAGACCGGCGCCAGTTAGGCCTGGAACCGGCATCGGTTAGGTCTGATTCTGCACAAAACAGGGAGACGTGCAACAATATTTTGATGAGAAATTCTCACCTTCCTCATGATCTGATCAAATATATCTTCCATGCCTAATTGTTGGGCTCGAATAGACTAAAAATGCCAATCTTTAGCCTATATAAGACCCTCAATTCATCAAACAAGATTGACATTCCATTCAATAAATTAATTTCTAGTTTTTTATATTTTGTTCTTGTTCTTCAAGTTCCTGAGGAGGAAAGTTCATCCTCCGAAATCATTGGTGTTTATGTATTATTTCTTTTGTAATTTCATATTCCATTACATTTAATTGCTGTTTGTGATTAATATGAGCATTAGAGACTAATTTCTTAGCTTAGGCTAGGGATGAACTTCTATGCTCACTACGTGTTTGATAAAAGTTCTAAACCAATAAATTGTGATTTATCTTTTATATATTGATTGTTTATGACTATGGGGTACAACATAGAAGTATGTTAAATTTAGTTTATACTTGCAATTAACGTTGAAGTCTAAACTATGAACATTAAAGGATAAACATATATAGTACCGAGAATAGAAATATATCCGGTCTTATATGATACGGGTGTGATGTCTTGATATTCAACGGGGTTTTCGGTAGATGAATGTAAGCCGTAACAGGACTTACACGTAACGAAAACCATGTCTCGCTGCCTTAACCGGAGTTGAGAATATATTAGCGACATCGTATTCATAATTATTGGCAAAGAACTAATATTCAACCCTATTAAAGCATTTAAGTGATTCTCGAAGCCTTAGTTGTTGTTATTATTCATCTTAAACACAAAGTTAGTTAACGATTATCTACTTGAACAAAAAGTGAAAATCCAAAAATATAAACACAAATCAAAACCCCTACACTTTACCCATTTATTTTATTTAAAGTCATCTACTCTCGGACTAAATTAAACAACATTTCCTTGTGGATTCGACCCGGTATTTCACCGGAATTTATTACTATATCGGCACTTGTACACTTGCAAGTTTAGCCCGGTCAAGTTTTTGGCGCCGTTGCCGGCGAAACGGTCTTGTTTAATAAAGTACAAAAAAAAGAAAAATAATAAACAACAACTCAAAAATCCTGAATTTATTTTACTCTTCACAAACTTCACTTGATCTTGGAGGGGTTTATTTTTGTGTCTGTAGATATTCCTTTGTGTTTGCATGCATTTGATAAGTCAAGGTTCTAAATCTCTTGAACCACTTGATCTTGAAATAGAAAAAACTTTCAAACACATTCAGAAGGAGCAAAAAGTCACAAAGATGATGCCCACACTAAACGAGAGGAAGAGACCCGTTGTTGCAACTTCCCCGTCTTGCATTGTACTAAGCGAGGAGGCAAGAGATTATGAACTAAAGCATAGCTACTTCAACGCTATGCCTCAGTTTCATGGGCATTCGGGGTAAAATCCACTGAACTTTATCACGGAGGTCTATGGATTTATTCAAGGGATTCCAAGGAATAAGCTCGTCGAAGACGATCTCAAGCTCAAATGCTTCATCTATACTCTCAAAGGGGCAGCAAGAGGATGGTTCCTAGAGTAAGCTCCGGATAGCTACACAACATGGGAATGTATTTACAATGCCTTCATGTCTAAATACTACACGCCTACCATGACTCAAGTGCTTAGACAATACATCTTCAATTTCAAACAACAAAATGGTGAGCTCTTTCAAGACACATGGCGGCGTTTCAAATCATTGCTAAAGGAATGCCCACACCACCGCATTCCCCTTGATCTTCAAATTGACACATTCTACAATGGTTTGAATGCATCTTGTGAAGCCATTGTAGACATCCGAGCTGAGGGCTACATTGGCAACAAGAATGAAACTGAGGCACTCCGAATCATTGAATCCATTGCTTCAAATCCTCAACTTCAAAGAGGTGATTACAAGGTGGTTGGGATGAATGAAATATCTATCACAACCGAGATCAACAAAAGGCTTGAACAATTGAGTCAAAAATTGATCAGAAATTCCAAACGGTCCTTCAAGCCGTATTGGGAGGTGTCAAGCAAATAGCTAATGTGGAGAGCATTCAAAGTCCGGAAGGTGATTTATCTCAACATCATAAAGAGGTAAATTTCATGAACTCTTATGGGAACCGGGGGAACAATAATCCTTCTAATCAACAAAGGTAGAACCAAGGGAGTAATTGGAAGCAACAACCCCAATCCGGAGCATCTAATTTTGGGCCGCCCAAGGAGACCACCATGGAGGATAAGATGCAATTCATATCCAAGAGCATGGCAAGCATGAAAGCCCAAAATGAAGAGAACCATAGTAGAGTGGAGGCATCCATTGGGAATCTCCACTCTCAATTCACCAAGTTGGATCTTCGCTTTGAAGATCAAAATATGAAACTCAACCAACACATAGACACCATCAAACAATATACCAAGACGTCCATCCAAAATCTTGAAGTTCAAATGAGGCAACTCGCCCAAAAAGTGAGTTCTAGAGAGCAAGGTAAATTCCCTACACCTACGGAGGTGAATCTGAGGGAGAGCGTCATGGCCATTATCACAAGATGCGGGAGGCAAACGGAGGATCCTAAGATGCCGGAGAGGAGAAAGACATCGCAGGAACAAGAAGTGCACTCACCGCTATCACCTATTATGGATCAATATGTTCCTCCCATCCCCTATCCACAAAAGTTGAAGAGGAAAGGAGATGATAAGAAATACAACAAATTTCTTGTTATTTTTAAGAAATTGAGCATCAACATACCTTTTGCGGAGGCCATTGCGGAGATTCCATCATATGCAAAATTTCTTAAAGGTGTCATCTCCAACAAAAAGAGGTTAAAGGAATTCACAACAGTGGCACTAACGGAGGAATGTAGTGCCATTATTCAAAACAAACTTCCTCCAAAACTAAAAGACCCCGTAAGCTTCACTTTCCATGCTCTATTGGAAAAATCGGGGAGGTAAGATCTCTTTGTGACCTTGGTGCTAGCATAAATATTATGCCCTACTCCCTATTTAAAAAGCTAAGTGTGGGGAAACTCCAACCAACAACTGCCGCCTTACAATTAGCGGATAGAACAATCCGCTATCCAATAGGCATCATGGAGGATGTTCTAGTCAAAGTTGGAAAATTCTACTTCCCGTTAAATTTTCTTGTTTTGGACATGGAAGAGATGGAGATCCCCGTCATCCTTGGGAGATCATTTTTGGCCACCGCTGCAGCCGTCATTGATGTACAAGCGGGCATAGTAAAGCTAAGAGTGGGAGGAGATGGTGAAACATTCCATGTAAGGAAGACACAATCCACTCCAACTCCAAACATGGAGGACAACACAAACCGTTTCACACCTCCCAAAGCCATAAACATCATGGACATCAAGAAGGCACAAATATTTGGGCCCGAGGATCCTCCAACACACACCGAAGACGTACTCGAGATCACACCAACGAACAACAAAGTTCTCCCGAAACTCTACCCAATGAAAGGAGGCATAATGATCAAATTCTACCGGAGAAAAGCATCACATCCAGCGCCTTAAAAGAGGTACGTTTGTCTGACCT